CATGTTTAACTTGTTGTCCACGAGGACTCCAAGATCTTTTTCACACGTCCTGCTCTCGAGCCAGGCATTGTCGTCCCCCATTCTGTCTCTTTGCATTTAGTTTTTCCTGCCTAAGTGGAGTATCTTGCATTTGTCACTGTTGAACTTCATTTTGTTAGTTTTGGCCATTCATCTCTCTAATCTGTGGAGATCCCTTTGACTCCTGCTCCTGTCCTCTGGAGTCTTGGCTCTCCCTCCCAATTTGGTGTTGTCTGCAAACTTGATGATCCTGCCTTCTAACCCTTCATCTAAGTCATTAATAAAGATGTTGAACAGGACCGGGCCCAGGACAGAACCCTGCTGATGGCACTCCACTCATCACTTCTTTCCAGGATGAAGAGGAAGCATTGGTGAGCACCTTCTGGGTTCGTCCATTTAACCCATTACAGATCCACCTCACCGTAGTTTTGCCTAGCCCACATTGGAGATTTATTTATTTATTTATTTACTCCATTTGTATACCGCATATATCAGCCTGCGACGGCGACTCAATGCGGTTTACAGTAAAAAGGCAACACTGACAATAGATAAGACGTACATACACAAACAACACACACAGTCATCAACGCCTCAATTAGAATCAGATCCCGTTCTCATAGTCCTTTTTCGTTCCTTGTTCAATGCCGTCTTACTGAGTTAGTTGTCATTGCATAGTTGTCCAAACGCCTGCTCATAGAGCCACGTCTTAACCCTCCTCCGAAACACCAGCAACGAAGGGGCCTGCCTGATGTCCACTGGTAGGGCATTCCATAGCCGAGGGGCCACCACTGAGAAGGCCCTGTCTCTCATCCCCGCCAACCGTGCCTGCGACGCCGGTGGGACCGAGAGCAGGGCCTCCCCGGACGATCTTAAAGTCCTCACCGGTTCATAGGTGGAGATGCGTTCGGAGAGGTAGGTGGGGCCTGAACCGTGTAGGGCTTGAACCATGCAACTCTGTATTTCCTATAAGAATGGCTGTTTTGATGTAACATTTCATGCTCTGCTTGGCGTATGATTAGACCAATTAGACTCATCAAAGAGTTCTTTTTTCCCTGGCGAGACAGAGAAGCATCCCATATTTTTCCCTGATTTCCCAATGAAAAGTCTCACCAGTTGAAGCAAAGCCATCGAGGTTTAATGTGATTCAGCTGAAACGGATGCAAAACTGCAATCATTTGCCAAAGCCAAGCATAAAGAAATACATTTGATACAGCCATTTATATAGAGTTTTCAAAGCTGCAGAGTTCAAACTCCCCGCCCCGGCTTCCCTGTTGTTCCCTGCCATGATTGGGCGATGGGCTCCAGTGGTCCGTAGGAACCAATGGGGAGACCTCTGCCACCTGGTGGCGACAGCCAATCAGGAGAGATGGAGGTGGGATGAGGGAGCACAAAGGAATCTGGGAAAGGAGTAAACAAAGGAAATGCCATGTGGCCGGCGAGACAAAGGGGAAATCTCAAGCCAGCCTGATCTATCAACATGTGTAGACTGGGGTGATTGTTTCTTGGTGGAGATAGCTGAGTTAATCAGAGTGAAGGCAAAAGGTTTTTCGAGGACCTTTTGTCCTTCAGGAGGAAATATGATTAAGATTTTGCCAAAGGGGCAAGCTGAGGGCTGGGCAATTCCTCCGAGGGCCACCAGCTGCCCAGGCTATTGTTCATGCAAAAGGAAGTTGTGGATAAAAAATCCTGGAATGTTTGGGGCTTTGTAGTCCCTTTGGTGGAGTTTCTTCATGTATATAGGGGAAACAAAGGTCAGAAGAAAAGGGGAAAGGCTTCTGCCACACAAAGAAATCAGAAAACACATTTCATATATCTAAAGTTCATAAAAGGCAAGATTTCATAAGGTTTGTCCATGTGGGGGTGGAAAGTGTCCATAGGGGATGGCTAAAACGCAAGGGTGTTGCACAAAGGTCCTGGCAGGAGTTCTTGAGTGACCCATAATGGACCTGGTGTCTCTGGAAACAAGCTTTGCTCCCCGTCCTTGGAGAACTACAGCGCTCCCGAGAGAGGCAAAGACCCCAAGGTCTAGCTATTCCCAAAGTTTCATGGGGTCCTCATTGTTGTTAAAGCCTTGGCAAATTGACCAAGACTTAACCCCTATTGTGCAGTCTGGTACCTTTGTCCTTTGCAGAACTATAAGTCACCATCCTTTGTTGGGGGGTGGGGGAGCATGCTCGACGTCACCATTGCTCATGGATGTGCATGGAATCCACACATGCAGTTGTTGACAAATCTAGTTTCCCACTTGGTGTCATGGTCCAGTTGTGTGAGGTTGTGCTTCAAAACAAGGGCAGTGTGCAACTCCACATGTCGAGGTGGAAGCTGCACGGCCTCAAGCCAGTGTGCTTTGAATTAATCCGACTGGATGGCGAGAGGGAAGGAGGGAGAGCTTTCCCTCTTCTTCTCTCCCAGCCCTCCCTTCCTCTTTCTCACTACCTTTCACAAGTCTAAATGCATCTATCGCAGTGTTGTGCCACCGGGCCGGACTTGGGCCAGCTGCTGGGAAGCGTACAGTTGGTGCCAATTACGGTGGCCTCGCCGTATGCCCTGACCTGTGTAAAAGACAGGCTGGCTCCGGGGCTCACACCTGCTTGGGCAGAACCAACCGAGGAGGCTGTTTTCCAACCACCGGGTGCGATGGTGGTGTGAAAGCATCGGCAGGTTGCCCAACGCGGTGGAAGAACTCTGCGAGCTGAGGTGGAGGAGGAAATGTTGACAGGCTGGGCGCAGTAGGACCAGAGGCGGCCCTAGGTAATTTTCAACGGTAACCAAACAGTATTTTGCCCCCCCCCACCAATCATTGATATATATTTTCTGTTCGTCGTGGGAGTTCTGTGTGCCACAACCAACCAATCATTGATATATATTTTTTCAATGGTAAGCAAACAGTATTTTGGTGCCCTCCCCCCACAACCAACCAATCACTGATATATATTTTCTGTTCGTCGTGGGAGTTCTGTGTGCCATATTTGGTTCAATTCCATCATTGGTGGAGTTCAGAATGCTCTTTGATTGTAGGTGAACTATACATCCCAGTAACTACAACTCGCATATGTCAAGGTCTATTTTCCCCCCAAGAGCGCCTCAAGAGCACCCCTGGGCAAAATCAACTCTACTGCGAATGCTTACTTTGTGTAATGGGTGAGCCGCCCCTGAGGAAGGAAGGAAGGAAGGAAGGAAGGAAGGAGAAAAAGAGGTAGGGAAGGAGGGAGGGAAGGAAGGAAGGAAAGAGGTAGAGAAGGAAGGAAGGAAAGATGTAAAGAAGGAAGGAGAGAGGTAAAGAAGGAAGGAAGGAAAGAAAGACGAAGATACAGAAATAAGAAAGGAGGGAGGAAGGAAGGAAGGAAAGAGGTAAAGAAGGAAGGAAAGAGGTAGAGAAGGAAGGAAAGAGGTAGAGAAGGAAGGAGGGAAGGAAAGAAGGAAAGAGGTAGAGAAGGAAGGAAGGAATGAGGTAGAGAAGGAAGAAAAGAAGGAAGGAAGGAAAGAAGAGAAAGAAGGAAGGAGAGAGAGGGAGAGAAGGAGGAGGAAGGAGAAAAGGAAGGAGGAAGGAAGGAGGAAGAAGGAGGAAGGAAGGAAAGAGGTAGAGAAGGAAGGAGGAGGAGAGAAAGGAAGGAAGGAAGGAAAGGAAGAGAGGTAGAGAAGGAAGGAAAGAGAAGGAAGGAAGGAAGGGGAAGGAAGGAAGGGGGAAGAGAAGAAGGAAGAAAGAGGAAAAAGAAGGAAAGGAGGAAAGAAAGAAGAAAAGGAGGGAGAAAAGGAAAGAGGAGAGAAAGGAAAGACAGAAGAAATAAAGGAAGGAAGGAAAGAGAAGAAGGAGGAGAGGAAGGAAGAGGAGGAGAAGGAAGAAAGGAAAGAGAAAGAGAAAGAAGGAGGGAAAGAGGGAAGAGAGGAAGGAAGGAGGAAAGGGAAGGAAGGAGAAGGAAGGAAGGAAGGAAGGAAGGAGGAAGAAGGAAAGGAAGGAAGGAAGAAGGTAGAGAAGGAAGGAAGGAAAGAGAAAGAAGAA